CGAGCCTATACAGCTTGGAGTAAGACAACATGCATGAAGAGGATGATGTGGACAAAATACTCATTTGCCTAATAATTCTGCACTCCCTGTATTAAGTCCTCAGTCTTCCTTTGTTCGTCGTCAGGTCGTCTGTTTTTCTCGCCATAGTCAGTCACAGCCATTGCCATAGTTAGCTTTCATAATTTGTTCCCAGTTTAGCTTTCTGTTTAGTTATTGCTCTTCTGCTGCCCTCATTCTCATTTGTTTTTTTAGTGATCATCAGCTACAATAAAAGTCTCGCTTTTGTTTAAGTTCACTCCCGTATCCTCACTTGTGTTCGCACCTAGGTCCACCACACACATCTCCGCACGGTCTGTCTCCACAAACCGTGACAGTACGACCTGACCATGCCGGACCCAGTGACACAAGAGAGGGAGATCATCCAGACGGTGGAGTTGCTATGTAGTAAATGGTTGCAGTGTTCAGGAGGGGAGGAATGAGAAGAGTTAGCTTGCCAAGTAGGGGTATGCGCGTCTGTATTTCCCTGGTTTTGGGGGCACTACATCCACTGATCATTGACTTTCTCGTCACCGCTGTCCAACTCCGTCCGCCGCAGCAGCTACCCACTGTGCGTACTGCGCCGCCTGAGCCCTGCTGTTGTGCTGTTTCCCCGCTGCTTCGCGAGCCAGAAGCACTCAGGGTCGGAACAGTGAGTCTCACCACCGACACACCATCCGCTCGTGCTTCCGCGTCTTCACCACAGTCTAGCCACAGGGTGCGCATGGAGATGACGGAAGCCATAGACTTTGGTGAGGAACTCGTCTGGCTCTCGGGGGCCCCCTGAGTCGCCAGAGACTCACACCACCAGTGCCTTGCTCTCCAGCCTCAGGAACGCCATCCAGCACGCAGGAGGCTCCACAGTTGGGCTCATGGGTTCCTACCGGAAGGAAACGACGTCCGCATCGTCATCACCCCTTGCAACAGCCGGAGGTGAGTGACGGTGTTTCTTCATCCTAAACTTCCACCGAGGAGAGGAAGAATGGTACTGTGTTACCAGCGTTTGAAAAGCACAGAGAGACTCATAGTTTGGAAGTGACCGATGTTAGCAATGAATCCAACTATCTGTGTGCCGCGGTTTGCATGAATAAAGACACTGTTTCTGAGCTAGCCGGACAAAATGTGGGTTTTGTAAAGCACAGCCATGGTTACAAAATTCAGTTGCAGAGGCTACCATAGACAAGTGTAGCGGTCCTGCAGGCATCTTAGATTCCACAGTTAAATTTAATGAGTCGTCCATGATCCATGGTGTTCATAATGTGGGTAATGATGGGGATTCTCACTCTCTGGAAAGGCTTATGTCTATGTACGTCACTCATAATAAAGGTGCCTCTGTACCTGAGTTGTTCAGTCCCCAAGTCATGCCCCCTGTTAATGAACTAGCCATGGTGAGTGTTTCCGAGCCTGTTGTCAAGAACTGTGGCATCCTTCCTCCTGTTCCTTCTGGAATCTCGGTGAGTGTCTGTGGTTCCAGAGTAGCAATTCATGATCTAAAAAGTGAAGAGACTGTGTTTGAGTTTACTGGGAACCATGTTTGCCAGCAGTACCTGTGCTCAGTGAGTTAAAAGTTAATTGAGCAAATCATGAACCCATCCTGAATATTGACAATGAGAAAATGAATGTGGCTTATAGCAATTTGGATTTTGAAACCCCAATGACTGGTTTCTGTTTCTCTCAAGATGTTGAGCATCATGGTTTTGAACTATTTAGCCCTAGCACAGCCACTGCTCTCAATCTCAATTCCGAGTCTCCCAGCAAGGAGACTAACACCTGTTTCAGACTCATTAACAATGCACTCAAAGACTATGATCTTGAGAATAAAGTTCGGGGGGACAAGCCTGCCGCCCTAGAGGCTGGTACTGGGTGTGACTTTATAAATAATCCTTCTTTGGGCAAAGATGTGAGTGTTGTTTTTGTAGCTGGACTGTCTTCCTCAGAGGCTGAAGCACGGACAGAGTCATGTGAGTCAGAAGGAACTGTGCTCTGCCCCTTAGAAAGAGTGAATGAAGACTGCATGACTTGTCTTAAAGACTTAATAAACTCAAGGACTGTTTCATGCATTGCTGCCATGCTAACCCAAGAAACTAATGTTCCAGATTCATCTCCTACTCCCAGGGTGGCTGAGGCGCCGCGCAACCTTACCCACGTGCCTGAATTCCGGGTGGAGGCAGCGGTCACCCAGCCAGCTGCCTTGCAGGCGCCTGCACCTTCTCATGTTTCTGCTGGAGGGCCTGAGGAGCCCATCCAGCCTCCTGCCACGTTAGCTGGAGGGCCCGAGGAGCCCGTCCAGTCCCACGCATTGTCTGCTGGAGAGCCTGAGGAGCCCGTCCAGTCCCACGCCTCGTCTGCTGGAGGGCCCGAGAAGCCCGTCTGGCCTCCTGCCTCGATGTGGGCCGCCAAGCCACGCTCATGACTGTCCCGTCACCGGCCACTTTCCGGGCCATCAGCTGGGCATCATTGCCGTCCTGGACGGCCTCCTGAACTGCACCAGCCACCTGAACCATTGACCTATGGACTTCTTGTGCCCTCGACCTCCAGGGCGACCCCCTGATCCGCCTGACTTTGGACTCTTGTGCCATCGGCCTCCAGGTCGGCCACCTGAACTACTTCGCCATGAACTCCTTTTCTGCCCAGATCATGGTCGCTCTCCTGAAACAGGGTCTCGGACTCTTATACAATTGTGTTTGGACTAAGTATTTCGGATTCTTCGTTTTTTGTGGTTTTGTTTCAGTTCACTTTAGGGGGTTGACCAGGAAACCACAGGTGGAGATAAACCGGAATCAGAATCAGAGATTCTCAGAATTTATCTCAGAATCTAGAGACATCAATCAGAATAAAAATCAGAATCTCTGATTTTGAAAAAGGCCAAAGCTTGGATTCGAACCCGGGCGGCTGCTCTCAGCCAGCTTATCCCAGTGAGCTAAACAGGCGCCTTTGTATGTGTGAAATTTTCTTTAAACGAACTATTAAAATACTACATAGAATGTAGTTAATCTTAATCAAGTACAAAACTATTTGTTATTTTGTCGTTGCTTCATCCGTGATGGATCTACTGTCAGTGTTAAAAATAACTGCCATTAGTTAAGTTAATATTTTCAAAGGTGCAATTTTCTTTTGGTGATAGCTTCTGTGTTATAGCAACTCTAAGGAGCTAAAGTAAAAGTAAATTAAAGTATCCAGCCATCCTGATCCTACCTTTGGGTGGATGGGAGCGTGGTTCTGCAATCTCTGCGGTTATGTAAATAGAAAATTGTCTATGCCACAATGCAGTGTCACTGGATGACGGGAGTGCAGAGTGAGAATGTACGGTTCTTGTGAGGCTTAAAATGCGAAAGCACAGGTGCTTTTTCATCAAAGCCAAACTGTCTGTTTAGCTGGGCTATTATTTTTTTGTTCTTAATTGCTGTTTACTCCTACTAAAGATTTGCAATATCTTTAACGACCTTTTGCTTTGAGAGGTGTCTTTTATTTTTGTCTTTTTACTTTATCAATTCCAATTTGAAACTTATTGTAATTTAATTTTTGTTAAATATGTCTTTACAGAATGCGTCAACCAAACTAACACATTTTATTATAGGTGGGTTTGACACAGTCAAAGGGCCTGTAGCAGTTGGTGTGGTTATGCTGATAATCTATTTACTAGCTGTTACTGGCAGTTTGGTCAATATCCTCTTCATTGTTTCTGACAAGCAGTTACATAAACCAATGTATCTTCTGATTTGCAATCTTGCTGTTGTTGACATACTGTATACCTCTAGTGCCACTCCAACAATGATCGGAGTTCTTCTTGCTGGTGTTAATACCATATC